CACTTTCACCAAGTGATTACTAAAAAGCTTTGTGGGAATTTATTGGCACCAGGGTGAAGTTTATGGTAAGTTTATCCTTATCTTGTGGACACAAGAGGAAGCTGTCTGAAAGGGATGTTATGGTCTAAAACCAGGTGTTTCACTTTCATTGTCTAAACCCTGTAGAGCATTTATTGCTGCCACAGCCCCCTGACATTAGCTAACCCCAAAATGTACATTAGTCTGTTAGTTTTGCAGCTATGGAGCTGACATTTGGAGTGGTAGTAACTGAGAGTCATTCACAACACATACTGAGTGTGACCTCTTGTGATAATACAGTACATATGAGATTGGGCTTGACCAAAATGGCTCCAACTCCATCAAATTGCTCTTTTGTTAAAACCTACACCACTGATTCCCAAAACAAAGATACCCGGACCACCAGGAGCCCCTCTCTCTTTAGCTCCTTAACTTTTCTACCTTTGGTTCTAGTTCTCCTCCTCTTTCTGTTTGTGGCCTTGAATGTGAGAATTTGTCACCTTCTTTACTCTCTTGGCGCCTGCTTGTGTCTCTGTTTTGTCAGAGAGAATGAACCCCCCTCAGAAGATGTCAGGGCTTCTTTGCTCCCTGAAAATAAAAAGGGGGGAAGGGAGTCAGAAGTGGAGAGCCTTATCTCCGCCTTGTCTAGCAGAAGCAGAGCACAAGTTTCCAAGCTGCAGGCACCGTTAGACAGGAAGTAAGACAGGTGCAGTTTCAAAGTAAAGGTACAGATTATAGTCCGTCATGATTTATTTGTCAAACCCTCCTGCTGCCCTTGGGTCAATGAGGCCACAGTTACCTCACCACTGTTTTAGATGGTCTTTACATTTTTAGTGCATATTTCTTTTCTCTTTTTTTCTCGGTCTCACGCACATTGTGGTTGTTTGTTTCTGGATTGATGGTTTATTCTGATGTAAAGCAGCCATTCAAACATATCAACAAGCATGAAAATGTGTCTTTGTGAAGTGTGTTTGGAAATTTTCGAACACACATTTTGTTCAGTTTCAGATCTGCCACAGAAAGGATCTTTAGTGAATAGGTTAAGTTTGGGTCAACGCAGTTTTGGAGAAATCTTTAATCAACAATCAGCACAAGAAATAATACTCACTACCACACAGGTCCTGAACATCTTTGGCAACAATTTTATTAAAAAGAAATTGTGTGAAATAATAACTAAGAAGTCAACTAAAGTGCTAATAGCTACCAGTGGTAGTAGGCATGGTTCCACTCACAGCTAATAGCAGAATAATTTTACTTTTGATGAATTAGCTTTTTCACTAAATTTGAAAACCATTAGCAGACCAATTAGCCTCCGCTAAATGAGGTTTTCCAACTTTAAGTCTGTTAACAGCTAGCTAACAAACTAACATCAACAGGTTTGTGTCAGTCCCACCAGTCTGTAGCTGGAAGGAGATGAAGACTGACAGACAGTCATCTTGGTCATAGATATATAAAGTGCATGGTGCATGTGATATAGAAATAACAATAAGATGCCTAAATTTAAACTGATTTTCAAACAGTTTGTTTTGTTGATTTGTTTTGATTTAATTTATTGATTCAACAGGAAAAGATTACTAAAAATTAAGCCTGACTCAACATAATTGCTGTTTTACAGCAGGTTCC